TAAAATTTATCGATAAAAATTCAATAAAATTTAGATTAATTTATGCCCAAAGCATTTTTATTTTAAATCAATGGGCAATTGATTTTTCCATTAACTTTAGCAATATTCTTCAAATATCTTCTTGAATAGGTGATAACCTTTATGATATTTTTTCTCGCATTCAAGTTTACATGAATTCTCGTAAGTATTTCCATTACTTCCACAAACAGGCTTAAATATTCGATTGCAGTGACATATGGGTACATTTGGTACATCTGAAGTATAACTTTATAAAGGCCTTTGCAGTACTTTTTAAAATATCAAAAATGAAAAAATACAATTTTCACTTTTGTTGAGTAAATAAGGGCAATGCCAATCAACGCGAAAGAATAGTTTTTAAGAAATTAGAATTTAAAAAAATGGATTCTAAAAAGTATTCATTTCTCTTTTGTAAATTGAAATCAGTGATAGAAATGAACGATTCTATGTTTACATAAGTCAGTTTGAAAAAAATATTTGACCTATTAAAAAAAAAATTGATGGAAAATCAACAAAAGTTGATAAGTAGATCGTTCTATTGAAATCGAGATTACATCAATAATTTATCAATCAGAATCAGCAAGATTTATTATTGCAAAGCTAGTTATTGAACTGTGATAATATCACAATATTTAGTTCAAAAATCACTACAACCAGTTTATTTATTAAAATTCATCACAATTATCATCGCTATCTCAAATGTATTTATTTTAGCAGAAAAAATGTTCGAAACGTCAAATTGTTTTGATGAAAATTTATTATTTCGCACTTTTTCAATTAGAAAGACAACAGAAACTAAACGCGATTAATTTCTTACATTGTTAAAAAGTGTCAGTAAATTTAATGAAAAAATTAACATGCACGTAAGATCGATTAGCGACCAATGTATTTACTATTTACATTCATTTTTTTAAATCTCATGGAAAAGGTTTGAAAGTTTGACTTTTTCTGTTAAGAGTCCTCACCTCACCATTACTCGTACCACTGGTTTGTCGCATCGAACAAATATGCCAAGGAGTCCCGTGGCGATAGAAATAGAGATTAGCCGTCAGTATCACCCGGATTTTTGTAAGGTTTACTCCTGCGGGGAATAGAACCTTAGTATGCGGCACTCCGAATTGAGCAACAACCCACTGAGCTATTCTATCTCAGAGAAAAGGAAAATTTGATTTGAATTGGATTTTTTTTTATTTTTAAGAGTCCTCACCATCACTGGTTGATTTGTGCAGCAAAACAAGAATTGATGGTGAAGTGGATCATCAACTTTCATTTCTTCAATATCATCTGACGAACGATTATAAAAGCTTAAGCAAACAAAAAAGAACTAGAAACTTTGTTGGAAAAAGAAGGGAAAACTTTAATATAAAGTAATGGTCAAATTATCATGGACGAAATTTTACAAGGCCCAATCGCATTTGTGATTCATTATTACCAAGACTATTAACTTTTACTTTCTGTTTTATTCATATTTATAAATATTGTAATTATTATAATTAATTAATGTAATAGTCAAAATTTTCCTTTGTTTTCACTGATTTTATCGGATTATAATTAATAAGTGAAAAATATTCAAAGGATTACCTTTAGCCAAAATATTTGAAATAAGATGGCCTGAAAAAAAAAAAATCACTAAGAATTTCCACGGCATTGTACAGCAACACATTCGCAGCGTTATAATCCAAGGAAATAGTTCCACCACTAAGACGCCACTTTGGCTAATCTGAATGTAACGAAAATTAAATTCGCATAAATTATATTTGAATGAATTCAATCTCGTTTAATTATTTGTAAAAATGAAAAGATTTAAAATATTTGATGAACGAAAAATATTGAAAGAAGGAAAGAGGAAAGCAGTTCAAGGACCTCTGGAATTAATGTTATCAAGAAATAATTCGTCACCGCCGTGCTCATTTCGCTTTAAGTCAACGAGGGCAATCCGTTGACATGATTAGAAGGAAACGGAATAATGAAACGGAAATTGAATATTAATGATTAATTGGTTGTTCGTTTTGATTTTGTTTGATTAAGAGTTGATTAAAAGTAAGCGATTACGAAAACGATAAGCCACGGATATTTCTGACTAATCCAGAATATTTTCAATGATCTTTTATAATCTTTAACAATGCTTTTATCTAAATAAATATTTTTTCAGTTTAATGATTACATATAACGAATTTCGAATGAATTTAGCATTATTTCCAAATATAGATAAAACATAGTCATTTTATCAAAAAAGGACGATCATATTAGGCAAAAATTCCAAAAAAATCTGGGATTTTCCGATAAATCTTAAGTGAAACATGAAAAATTCTTGACAATTCTCTCATTTTTTTAGTTCTACTTCACCAGAAATTCTCAGTTTAATTCGATCTTAATTGTTGCTCCATCTCGCAATTTTGTGATAATTATAATGGAACCTGCAGTACGATTTCAGTACAATGGATAAACAATCCATAGCGAAAAACACATACGATAATGACTTTAGAAATTTTCAGAATGAAGCAGTTTTTAGGAAAATTTTTTCAGTAACGTATTGCTTTTATTATAAAATTTTTAGCGTAAAAATAGGACTGAACAGTTTGATAAACTCGAAAGAAAATGAGGTATAATTATTTACTGGAATCGATATGATTGCTTAACTTTTAAGCAAATTTTTACAGGAATTATTTGTCGATTATTCCTTTTTAGCTTTATAGCAAGTAGTTTTTTGCTTCGAAAATGCGTAAAAGAATTATTCAATGCAACTCTCAGAGAGAAAAAGAGAAAAATTTGCAATAGAAATTCTCTGGTTTTGGCCAAAATTTGGAAGTTTGCAAAACCAGAAAACATTTTCCAGAAATTGCAAATGCTGTGAAAGCTGTGTTGCCAAAATAAGATGGGCGCTGTTCAATAAACTGCAAATAAAAATGGGTGTGAGTGAGATTACTAATGAAGACGATTGATCTTAAAGACGACAAAGATGCTAAAAAAACCATTAAAATGTTTCTTAATGCAAATACATTGGAAAGGGCTCAACGTTTTTATTTTTCACTTCGACTGTTAAAATTTTAGCAAAAATTCCTTAGCAAAAAATTCTTTTATAATCAACCATAATTTAAAATTATCTAACAAAATAAAGACAATAAACTGTGATCAGAATTTTTGAAAAAGGCATGGACATCTTATTTTATTTCTTATATTTATTTTATATTATATTATATTTTATTTCTTAACTCATATATAAATTTTATATCAATCTATAATTTCCTTTGTATATTGGTTATGTAAAAAGGTTAACTAATAAGGTTTCGTGAAAAATTTACAAGAAATTGGCTGATTCTCTGAATTATACATAATTAATTATTATTTGTATTATTCCCAAGGGAGGAAACTCTTATTTTGGTTGAAATGCATCAATGATGAAAACTGCTAGTGAATGACCTGATTTTTTTCATAAAAAGCAGCAAAGAATTATTTGAAGTTTTTGAAATATTCTATAATATTTTATAATGTTGGGGAATGTGAGAAATTCTATAGTTTGACACAATTTTGCGAACGATATTATAATATATCACATTAATATAATATATTTACTTGTGAATAAAGAAATCTTTTGTAATGGGATAGTTTTCATGCACACAATAATAAATAATTGCATATCGTAATTTTAAGCATATATTGTGAATACTTGGTGAAGTTTATCACTCATTAGTGATTATTTGCTTGGCCAAGCCTTTCTGCAACATGAATGAGAATCATCTATCAATTCCTGTCCATTTGCGCATACTTTTCATTAATAATTTTTTTTATTTTTCGCCGATTTATGCCATAAAATTGATAGATCGATTGTACCTTATCAAGTCATATCATTGCTTTTATAGTTGCTTTTCGATTTTCAAGTCGCATAAACAGTGAAACTTGGTCATTTGTTTATTATTTGTATATTATATTATTTGATCCACGGCAATATTTATTTACTGATGAAGCAGTCAAGAAATGAGACACTATAAAACTAAATGGACATAAATTTTCTAAGTGGTGGTTACTATAAAATACTGTATATCTTTTATGAAACAATATAATGCAATAACATAACATGGATGCGTAATCTTTTGCGGATGAAAGAAAGGCTGGAAAATATTGGGTAGATAAAAATGTGGAGCAAGCTTAGCTGATGTAGAGCAAGTAATTCTCACAAATCTTTTTATATTTGTAAAATTTCGTTATTTCGTTACATATTTCTCGCAATGCGAGTTAATTAAAAACAATAATTTCCCCGCTTTTCTTTTTTTTATTTTGCAAGTGTAATAATTATTAACCATCTTAGTGGAAGGTGTCAGACATAATTGCATCTGATAATGGCAATGCGATTTTTAATGAGCAGGTTCAATAAGCAGATTTATCGCTCAACTTATAGCTGCTATATGGCTCATTTGATTTTCATTATACCTGGTTTAACTTCATTTTATCATTAATCTCGAAGATTTTCCATTGGAATTCATTTTTTCCTAGGAAAAAGAAAGATTTGCTAAAAATGACTTTGCTAACGTATTTAGACAAGTTTGTATCTATTTATTAAGCATCAAGGGCTAAATATAGGATGTTACGAATGCAGTATCAAATGATATAATAACAAAAATAAATAATTCAGAAGTTTGAATAGCAAGCAAGATTTGAAAGTCAAATGATGCATTATAATTAGTTGATTCAAAAAAGGAAAATTCATCGATCATCAAAAAGAAAAAACTGAATTAAAATTTTCGATTTTACTCGCTCCCTTTCCTTTCGTATTATTATTATATAAATAGAATAGAATTTTAATATTTATGTGACATTTTATATGACATCAAAATATTTTATTCATTGCCATGAAGTTTTGCTAATATATGTAACTTGAAAAAAGATTTTATAAAGGCTTTAATTGTTTCAAAATTATTTTTTTTGTAATTGCCAACATTTTCATTTGTAGAATGAGTGAAAATGAGTTGTAGAAACGAATTCTCTTATCGTTTTTCCGTTGATTGAGCGGTTTCTATTTCTGAGAGAATATCATGCAAGCGTTGAGAACGACCAAAGCGTACTAAAAGAATTCATTTGATCAAATATTTGTTTGGGAATTTCTTAGATTTATTAAGAGTTTTTCTAGTTTCTTTCCTTTAAAAATAATTTTTCACAATTTTTTCGCTTTCTGAAATTCTTATTATGACTAAATTTGATTAATTTTAATATGATTAATTATATGAATAATTTTAATTCACATAGGTTAAGATTCTTATTTAGAAATATTGTTGTGATTGATGGATATATTTATTTTAAGACTGATTTTGCATCACATTTATTTTCTTTTTAGTTCAAGCAAAATAAAAAACCGAAAGGTTGTGGTGCTCCATTTCGTTTATATCCATATGCTTGATCATTTAAATCTGTATCAACCGATCGTTTGCCAAACCTTAAGATCTTATTTTCAACATTTCTTGAATTTTCTTCTTTATATATTGGCACAAATCTCTTTAGTTCAAATAAATAATTCAAGTAAATAATAGCAGCAACAGTTTAAAATATTTATTAATTTATTAATTAATTTAATTTATTTATTTAAAACGACAAAATCAAACCTGATAAGTGCATTTCTCATACTAGATCTGCCCAGCCGAACTAACGCATTTCGCATCGCTCGCTTATCTCGCCTAAATAAGAAAACAAAATAAGAAAATAAAATATTTTCGATACGGAGAATATAGAATCATATAGAATATAGAATCATAATTGAATTAAATGAGTATATTAATTAAACTCAATCAAATGAATCCAATTTAACTTTTCGGTTCACATTAATCGTCAAAAAGTTATAATTTTTGTAAATACACATCCGATGCAAATCATATATTCCTATCGTAAAATTATCCAACTTTTTCAATTTATTAGTGGTATTTTAAATTAACTAGTACCGTAAATTTTATTATTTGGTTGGCAAATACGGACAGATATATCTCCATCGAAAAAATTATCTATATTCTACCATAGCATTTATATAGCCCTTATTAATAATATAGTTGATAGTATAATAAGTAGCTAATATAAATAAATCGAACAAAAACAGGGTTATTGTATTTTAACTTAGCTGCTGAATAAAAGAGGTCAAAGAAAAAGTAGAAGCGAATGATTTACCGAAGAGGCAAGGGAAGAAAGAATGATGTTAAATGAAAAACGGTATGGGTAAGGAAAGGCCAATTCTGATTACCTTTAAGGATGAATAAAAATTAATTAATGAGCTACAAATGAATTGAGATTATTTTATAGGAGCAGTAGAAACTAACAATAGATCGTCAACATTGTCACCATTTACAAAGATAGCTAGGACCATTGAGAAGAAGAGAGCGATTACTGTAATTTGTTGCATACCTAAAAAATAATTTTGAGTTCAAAAATAAAGTAAGCCAATATTACATAATAGACTCTCGTTGGATTCCTCAATAAATATTAAATAAAATTTTAACAAATTACGAAATATTTTCAAGGTTTAAAGGAGCAATAAATGGATGAGATTTTGCTTCAGGCAGTTTCAGCCATAAATATATAAGCTTCATTTTAATTCGAATTCAAAGATTAAAATAGCATCGGTTAATGTAAACTTTCCTAGAATTCTTCATAAAGATTCGAGAAAATTTCCAAGATATATTTACCAATTCAAAATTTTTTAATATATATATATTTGTATATATATATATTTAACAATTAATAAAGATATTTTTTAACGAAGAATTGTCTAAATGCTATGTCATTCCAGAACTTCAGGTTTATCAAACATATAGAGAAAGGGAATTCTCATGATTCAATGTGCCGACTATTCTTGCAAATCAGTGAAATAATTTTAAAAAATTACAGTCTATATAATATTTGTTATTTAATACCATTTTTCATTTGATTTTAAGAAAATGAACTTGGCAAATTTCTCTGGAGAAGAACAATTCAAAATTTCAATAATATTTTATATTGTTTATAATAAGTTATGTTCAAAGTAAATGGGCTGAGTCGCAATAGAATTTTCTGAAATCTTACTAGTTAAATCTTACTTGGGCTAATTTTTCCCTATTTCTTAAAATTTCTTCGTTTCATTATTAAAAAAATTTAAAAAAAATTTAATTATTCTTGAGCTGCATGCATTTCATCCAATCCAATCCGATATAATTAGCCTTGCATGTTTTAAATATTTATTAATTACAACGCAACAATTCATAGGCATGACAAACTAGGCTTTCAGTTTAGCACTCAGAATTTGAAAAAAAAATTACTGCAGACTGATCCAACGACTAATGACGACTTATTTTCAAGCCACCATGGCCATTCATCTCCTCGTATTCTCATTAGTCCTTGAAAACCCAAAATTAACTCTTATAATAATATGGTTTCTGGTGGATGTTAAATAAAAAAAAAATTATTAATTTTATTATTTTAAATATTAATAAAATTTTAATCTAAATGAATCTTTTGCTCTGTTCGATTTGAATGAAAATTATTCAACGATAAACATTTGAGTGGCAGCGATATGGTTAAACAATATTATTTGAGAATTATTATAGAACCTTATTTTAAGAAAAACTGAATGACAGATAGGTGAAGTAGGCAAGCTAAATATGAATCATATCAGTTATTATATCAATTATTATATCAGTTATTATATCAAATTTAATCCACAGCAAAAATTCAAAGCAAAGGATTAATTGTAGATATTTGGTTTTTAAATATGCTTAAACTATCAACAGTTCTTGTTAACAAAAAGCATAAAAAAAGTTAAAGTACAAATGAAATGGTACATTATGATAAGTGACTTGATCATTAAATGTGGCAAAATCAGTTCACCTGGTAATACAAAATATTCTGAGGGATAATATTCAATATATTCCTTTATATAATAAATTTTTTATCAGAGAATTAAATAATTTTCTTACATTTAATAGAGGTTTAAACTGTGAAGTCCTGACGAATATCCATTTTTAATTTTTTTATAATTAAGAATTGTCAGAATTATTCTTATTTTGGATTTTAAAATGTTGTTCACGTGATTTTGACGTGGTCTCGATTAGATATCAGCGATCAGCGATATCCGAGTTTTAATGATTAATTTCGCATTTGTGATTCAACTTATGGCAGAGGCTTATTCCGGAGATCCAGGAGTGAACTATGCCATTGAAAAATATAGATAATTTAATACAGCTGTCGTGGTGGTGATTTAGTCGTATCGCCAAAATTTTTGTTCCTAACCAAAAATAGCGAAAATTTCTAACCATATTAACACCAGAAGAGCGACACTAACCAGAAATGCTTAGTACTTAGATATGAAACACAATCGAAACATACATTGGTAACAAAATTTTTGACTGAGCAAAAGATAAGTTATTCGACCAAAAAAAGGATGAAAAAATTTAATTATTCCATGAGTATGTTTATTCGGGAAATTCAGGAAACTGACAATACATTAGAAATTCACTTCATTGTAAAAAAAATTTTTTTTCTAGTTTTTCTCACAAATTATATCCTTAATGTTGTCGCTGAACGCTTCATAGAATGAAGCTTCAAAACTATCGGCAAACTAACAATTTTTTTCACAGCCAATTCTAATATTATTATTATTAATTACAATTGTTAATACTAATAAGAATTAAGATTAAAATTACAAAGGATTTTTTATCTTATTCTTTTGATTATAAGTCTCCAGCTATCCTCCAGTTTTTTAGAAATCCAAATTATCCGTGGCATTCTTCACCCGTATTTTCATATCCTACGAAGACTTATTTTATGCCTCCTAAAAACACTAAAAACTTTTAATTGTTCTCTTTATTTTGTCAATTATTCAGCAGTAATGAATGATTAATTCATCATTATTCAACTATTGCCCTTTTAATTTGAACTAGTTAAATGATTTTAAATCTAAAATGCTCGTCGTTTTCTATAAAAAATTAAATTAAATTATTAGTCATTATGCTTAAAAAACTGCGACCAAAGAGAGAAAAAATAAAACGAATAAAATTTGAATAAAAACTTAAACCTGAATAAAAGTTTAATCTTAATAAAAAATAGTAAAAATATTGAAAAATTTTAAATAAAAAAGGAATATTGGAAAGAAAAATGCAAAAAATATGATTCAAAATATTTTAGAAAATAACAATTTAGTATCTGTGGAAACAAATATTTATTATTATTTGCAACTTACTGATGCAAAAAAGGAAAAAGAGTAAACGCTTCATATTCTATGTTTTGCAAATAAAATTAAATTATGGATAATATCATATATTTGTGCTAAATCTATTAGTAAACTGGTATATACCAAGCAAAATATAGAAGTATGCAAGAAGCTTAAATAAGAAGTTTTGATAAAGTTTGTAGTTTGTTTGTACACAATTTTTTATTGTGATTCTTTAGCCTTGTGGTATTGTTATCAATCTTAAATGTCTCATTTTAAAAATCCGGAGGGTAAAATCCAAATTTAGTGAATAACCATTAGCAATATATTCATTAAATAGAGCAAGAATACCTTTCATTTAGGTCCATAATGCATAAAAATTTATTCTTTCATTAAAAATAATTGAAAAAAATTTGTAAAATTTATTTTTTTTTTCATTTGCGAAAGTTTGCATAGCGATCATTTACGCAAAATTATGTCATATCGACCCACTCCTATCAAGCTTCCAGTGAATTATATATTTATTACTAATTCGTCTATGGATTTAAAATGAATTGGATTAGACAAATAAGATGCACCAAAAGAAATACAAAATTACTAAATTTTTCTGTTTTAGCGTTTGGCTTTGGCTTCAAACAAATGTTCCAAAAACAAAATAAAATGATGAAGATGGAAGGCAAGGAAAGGAATGGAGTATAAATTTCAAAATAAAGGAAATAAAATGTCTAAAGTCGAGACTTAAACAATTTAGCATGAACTGAACGAATTGCAGCAGAACCTATAGCTTGAATATTCTTAATAGTGAAAAGTCACCAAACACTTCATCATCAAATTATCATGAAGAAGCAAACAAACCAAGGAAGGCTTCCTTTATATTATTCATTTATATTATGAAGATGCTACTGTATCTGTCTTTTTTTGATAATATTCTTATATAAATTGAAAAAATTAGACGAAAAAGGCTTCTCTCTTTCTGATGATTTATTACATAAATTTCAGTTTCGTTCTACTGCAATAAAATAATAAAATTATACGAAAAATATTAATAAATTGCATTAATTTAAAGATGCTTATATAAATAGATTTCTGGCCTTTCAGATTTTTTTTGGACTTTTGGACTATTCTAATCGATTTAAATAGGTAATAGTTTAAATATTACTTTCTAAAACTGCCAAGTTGGAAATTTAATTAGAGAAAAAATAAAGATGCGAGTGCCAAGTGGCGTAAATTTTTGTTGATTAATCGAATGCATTCTATTTTATAGATTTAATGCGAATATTTCGAATTAAATTTAGTAGGAAATCTACAAATAATTTTAAAAAATTAGTTATTTTATCATAGTAATCGAAGATTCTTTTCGCATCAATTTGAAGTTTTTCGTCATCTAATTGGCTGATCATGAAAATAATCATATCACTTCTTATTCTTCTATCCATTTATTTTCTTTAAGATTTCTTCTACTATAGTTCGCTTTCTACACTCCTGTATTTTCTTCCAAGCATTTTTTCTGGAAAATGTTCATATTGTGATAGAACAATCGGCACTGCCGGCATTTTCAATATAACCATAATTGAAGTAACCGCTTCTTTAATTTAACTTCGATCAATTTTCAAAAAATTTTATAAAAGGAAAAGGCATGAAGGTCCATATCTATATCTTGATTGATGAGACTCATTCTCGATAAATTCAGTGTTAAACTAATTCTCGATGAATTGTTTATTTATTATGGCCATACATAAGCCTACTATTATGATTAGTGGCGATGATAAATTCCTCATCGTTGGTTTTAATTGACTCACGTTTGGCTCACGGACGTTTGCGTAAAATTGCATAATTCGACAAAATAGGAAATACTTGAAAATAAAAATGATGCATTGAACATAATGAGTAAACGATGAAGCCAATATAAAAGCCGATAATTTCCATTTATTAATTAGACTAATTTCCGTTTATTATATGGCTGACATCCGTAATATGGAAAAAAATTAAAAACGAAAATCAAAAGATCTTTGAAATTGGTGGATTTTATGTAATTCATTCATTCAAGTTGAACTTGAAGAAAATCATCTAGAAATAAAATGGTAACAAGAGATGAAATGGTCGAATGGTATATTGCTTTGGTTTAAGTCAAGCGATCCGCAATTCGATCATCCTTGTTGAGAGTGGTTATACCATCAAAAGAGAAAAATGGATGGATGTAGCATTTTTTCCTTCGAAGTGGAATTTTCTAAAAAATGAGGATTGAATAATTTTGAGGTTAGTCATTCAGTTATTTAAACCACCGGAGATAATCAGATTAGAAATACTGAGTAGTTCAAAGATAAAAAAACGAATTACATCGATAATAAAAATGGTATTGAGTGAAGAATCTGAGAAATTTTTTCTAAAAAGCTCACCACTACTGGTTCGCTTTGCTGGCATGTCAGAGCAAATGAACTTTGCCAGAAAAATCATCCGGCAATGGAAGAACAAATGAATCTAGCACCACCTAGATTTTTGAAGGACAGGCTTAATCCTACCGAACTTCAACATCGTTGCTCCAAATAGGGTGAAAACTGACTTCTTCTATCTCCTCTTGCTTTCGCCTTTATCCAGCTGGTTTCTAGCCCGAACCGTTCTTGATTTTCGGTGGGGGCAATCATCTTGCTATTTGCACCAAGTGTTTGAAAATATTTATATAAATAAAAATATTGAAAAAAAATGAAACTAAATCTAATGGAAAAATCATAAATCCTAAATTACTTAAATAGAACAAGTATAAGTGTTGAAATTCTTTGAAATTGAAATCTGTAAAAAATTATTTTAGATTGAAATCTGCAAAAAATTATTTGAGATTGAAAATTGAAAAATTATTTTGGAAAATTATCTGTAATTGGAAAATTATGATATATAATTAAGCTATATTTTATTCAATTTGGCAAGAAAAATATTTCGTACTGAAATATGGCAACTTGTCAATTAATCGAAGAATAAATCAATTTTTATAAAATTGAAAAGAAAATGAAGAATCGCAGAAAAAAATCATGAATTAATATATGAATTAATATTTAATTTATGGCAAAAAATTTAGATTTTGTCACACAGCATACTTGAAAAAATTATTGTTTTAGAAATTATGACATAAGCCACAAGAATTTATGAGTTCTTCCTTTTTTGGTTATCTTACATAGCTCGCAAAATTAGA